ATTAAAAATATAAAAAACAAATGTAATGATGAGTAAGCTTCTTCTAAGGTGAGAGTCCATCAAATGACTTAGTAGAATCTACTATAAAAAAATATCAACAAACGAGTTTGACAAATCAAACACAGTAAATAACTGTTATTTATTAAACACACCCACACACACACCATGAGGAGAAGAATATGATCAAAATTGTTATCAGATCTCAATGATAATATAATGTCAAATCTAATTTTATATGTCCAATATGATGATGAGTATACTCAATCATTTAATAAAATTTGCAATCATTCACAAACGTATTTAAATAAAATCATTTCAATCAAATCAAGCCTCACTATTATACAACTTAAAAATCATCATGCTAATCAAATTTTTTTCACTATATATAAAGTTGATTTGTCAAACATTGAAACGTAAAAAGTAAATACCAACCCATGATTCCTGTAAAGTCATCGATTTTTTGGCCTGACTAACCAACATCCAAAGGATTCTATATATATATATATATATAAAGTTGATATTTCAAAATTATGACAAATTTCAAATTTTGAGCACATTTGAAGCGGTTTATAAGGTATAATGATTTTAATTTAATATTAAAAATTAGTGGCATTTGCATAAAAAAATATCTCAAAAATTTAGAACATTATTTTTTATAAATGTGAAATTATTCCTCCTATACCTAACTTGTTGTGGGTTGGCATACGTCCAAAGTCCCTTAAATCATCAATTCAAAGCCTTTTTTGTATTTATTAATACAACCTTTTTTTTTTGTTCGGTAGAAAACAACAAAATTTGGGTTGGAGTGAAGGAAGAGGAAAGAAATTGTGGTGTGAGAAAAAAATATTCTATATGTTCGTCCGAACAGTCAATCACCAACCGTCATGTCGCCTGCCAATGAGGTGTGTAGAAACGTGATGTCTAATGGTTGGCCGTCCAGACACCGCCCGTTCGGACATGCGGTGTCCGGACGAAATATTTTCTCGTGGTGTAAAACTTCATTTTGCAATCTATCATGGCTAAGTGTGGTGGCTGCAAGGTCCAACGTTTTGAAAATAAAAAAAGGAAATTGTAATTGCCATAACAATTTTTCAATAGTTTCCATCGGTTATCTTCTTAATAAGAAGTAGAAAAATGTACATACACACTACATAATTCTTATGTGTTTGCATGTACATATATATATATATAACACCCAAAATTTGATATTTGCTTTTGTAACAACTTGGTGTTATAAATTTATGTATATTGTACATATAAAATAATATATGCATGAATCTTAAAGCATATGAACGGTTCAAAAAGAAGATGCTGGCAATCGAACACGGCCTTCAATGATTTTTGGTTGAATATTGGCAAGAGAAGTATCTTGTTCAAACAATCGGAAAAATGCGCTAAGAGAAGCTCTGACAGAGCAGTAGACTTCTTTCAGAACGATCGACGGAGGGCACTCTTTCGAACTAGATATGCACTTTAGTAATGTTAGGACTTAGGCCTATAAATAGGAGTTCATGTCATAAATAAGATGCTCTCTTTTTAATGTTTCCTACGGCTCTCTCTCTCTCTCTCTCTCTCTTCCTCTCCTGGCCTCTCTCTCTCTCTCTCTCTCTCTCTCTCTCTCTATATATATATATTAATATATATATATATATCTCATTTTTTTTGTTTCCTTCTCTCTCTCTCTCCAACATATATAATAATTTTATAAATATTATATAATAATTTAATAAATAACAAATAATTTTATGAAAATATTTATTTTTCATTTATGATAAAATAATTAATTATTAAAACGCAAAATTGTAAATATGTATGTACATACTGCATTTGTATTTCACGCCAATGAGGTACATTATATCCATGATTAAATATAAAAATGATTACATCATTACATATACTTAACATAACTCTTATCATAGAAAATCAAATAAATTTTTCTCTAATTAATGTCAGAATTTTATGGATAAAACATAATAAAGTAATTAAATATTTTAGCACAAATTCCTATTTTAAAAATATTCAAATATATTATATATTTTCATAGGTGAAAATATATATAATATGAAGATACCAATAGAAGTCCCAATCACATTTTAAAGACAAAATTTACAAATAAATTCAATAATCAATTTAGAGACCAATAGAAGTCCCAATCACATTTTGTGCATCCATCCCTCTCAGCTACGAGAAACATTTGTGTATGTAAGACATTTGCTGAGCTGTGTACATTCGAGGTCATTCAGAGGGTATTCGGGGGTTATACCGCATTATACCCCCTGTAACATCTCTTTGTAACCTACCTATAACCCCCAATACCCTCAGAATAACATCGGATGTACGCAGCTCTACAACGTACCGCATGGTAAATTAAGGAGGCATGTACATAAATACCACTCAATTATTTTGTATTTACAAATCTAACAACCAAACACTACTTCTTACATTTCTACCATCCAAATTTCTTACATCACATAAAGGAAAATCACTATTTTACCCTTTAAAAAGTTAAATACACATTTCTCATAACATGGCATATATGTAAAAATTGAAATTTAGGTATTAGATACATCAATACAATGCAATTGAAGGGTATGAATGTAAATAAATCTTCCTAAATTAAAATCTTTTTCAAATATTTGTCTTTTCCTTTTTTTTTTTTTTGCATTAAAAATATGTTCTGAAAAATTTAAAAGCATTTAAAATAAATGTCAACTTTTAGTGGGCTTCTTTAATAAAGTTGCTTGCTTGGGCCTTTTTTAAAAATTAAAGGGGCATTTACATACATACCTCACAATTCTTATATATTTACATATCAAACACCTAAACTTTAATATTTACACGAATAACACTAAAATTTTTAATTGACATCAAAGTACTACAAATATAAATATGAAAGTTTAAGTGGCACGAATAACACTAAAATTTTTAATTGACACCAAAGTACTACAAATATAAATATGAAAGTTTAAGTGTTAGATGTGTAAATACATAAAAGTTATGTGGCATGTGCATAAATTTCCCAATATTAAAATGGCTATTTTGTCTAACAGTCAAACATGGATCTTAATTACTTTTTCTTAACTACACTTCATATATAATATATCATATATATATATATATATATATATAAAATCTCAAAGCATATTTGATGAGATGAGTTGGCATTTAAGATGATTCGAGCTCCAATTTTGATAAATTTATGGTGAAACTAAATGTCATGATAATACAAAATTGTCGACAACTAAAGCTAATTTTGAAATATTAATTCAATTATCAGATGAGTTCTAAATTCAACATGCGTATAATCTAACCGGACGGCTTAATGCGAGAAAATCAATAAGCCTATAATCGCTCAACATTGAGGTCATTTAACACGTACATGTTAAAAAAAATAATTTATGATTAAAGTAATACATAGAAATTGTCCATAATATTTTCTTGACTATGACTAGATTTATGAAAATGTCAATCTCAGAAATTATAAATAGTTCTGAAAAGAGTTATGAAGATTAAATCTATATTCACAAAGAGAGTTGGAAGTTAAAGACCACTAAGAACTGTTCACAACCACCAACAGATGTTGAAGCTCAATTATTAACGTGCGACTGTTATTACCTAATTGTTATCTCTAGATCATTATTGTTTGATTATTTGTTCTTATTAGTGGTGTCTAATAATTTTCATTTCATTGACATTTTTGTTTAACAATAAAAAAATGAGTATTTATAGTCAGGGGCAGACCCATGCATTGTCCAGCGCCACCCCCCCCCTCACACACCTGAAATTCAGATTTTTACTTATATAGAATATAATTTGTTCTTTTACTCCTCGTGAAATATCATTTTGTACCTCATTGTCCTAGCCCCTCCCACAATAGATTTAGGGGACAATTCTCTCTCTCTCTCTCTCTCTCTCTATCTATCTATCTCTCTCAGATCTATCTATTTATCTATAAAAAAATAAAGAAAATTTAAAATAACTTTTTATTTAAAAAAATAGATAAAAATATTATGACCCAAATTTTGTCTTGTAGGGCTTACTAAGAATCATTGCAGCGTTAACGTTAAATTTGGTCAGAGTAACGGGCCCACGCGGCTTTTCAAAGTCAGGTGTGAGAAAATATTACACTACGACGAATTTTAAATTTTAAACTTTATTTTCTAGATAAGCAAAAATATTTATATTTAATATTATTTTCCTTTGAAAGCAAATTGAAAAAAATATAATTTAATATAATTTTCCAATTTATTTATATCTACCAAATCTTTCCTCACGTAAAAAATATTATTATTTTAACTTCTAAAAAGTGAAATAAATATTTTTCATGCATAATTAACGTGTCATATGTAGGGGTGTAAACGAACCGAACAAGAACGAACAGAGCTTGCATTAGTGTTCGGTTCATTTGAAATTTAGTTTGTTTGAAATAAGTTCGTGTTCGAAATTGTTCGTGAAGTCACTTTTCGTGTTCGTTTCTTAAGGAACGAGCTGAACATGAGTTGTTCGCGAACGACAAACTAGTTTTACATCCCTAATATTAATATATTATTATTATAATTTTATTATATATTATAATTCATAAAAATTAAAATATCATAAATTTTTTATATATAATTATTTTAAATTATTTTATATTTCGAACAATAACAATTCAAGCACTAACGAGCACATCACTATTCATGTTTGGTTCGTTTAAATCACTAACGAGCACATCACTATTCATGTTTGGTTAGTTTAAATAACCGAACGAAAAAAATTTGTTTACGTTCGTCTCGTTTACTTATCAAACGAATCGAACATGAATTCATTGACCAACCGAGCACGAACGGTTCGCGAACATTTTTAACAGCCCTAGTCATATATGTGTAAAATTTGAAATTGATAGTAAATATGTAAATACATAAAAATTGAGTGATATAAATATAAATCTTCCATCACATTTAGAATGGCATGCACAGAATCCAGCGCTTGGGATAAAAAAGCCAAGAGGATGTGCAATATAACAGTCACCACAAATTTTCATTTAACACCTCCATTTCCTTAACAATTACAACACTCACCGGAGACTTCATCTTTATTCCGTCCCCCCCACTTTGAATATTTTGCTACTATTTTTCTAATCATTTATTCTCTCCTCTAAATCCCCCCCTTGCAATTCTCAAAATTATCAACTTTAATAGCATAATACACACGCACGGCTTAAAATATTATTTCACATTTTCACAAATACCCTCAATCAATTTACATTTTACACCCTCTATTCCCCCACAACCTTATCACCACCGCCGCCGCCGCCGCCGCGCTTAAGCTTGATTCCGTAGTAATGAACGTACCACCTAACAAACTTCCGTAACCCGGCGGCGAGGTCAGTCGTCGGCCGGTAACCATAGTCGACGGCGGCGAGGCTGACGTTAGCGTGAGTGAACGGGACGTCGCCGTTATCCGGCATCGTCACTATGTTCTTCTTGGCTTTCATGCTGAGAAGCCGTTCGAGAATGGAGACCAACTCTGTTACAGGAACAGGGGAAGTATTCCCGAGATTGTAAATTCGGAGCGGCGCGGGGCCGGACTTCCGGCCGCCGCCCGCGGTACCGGTACTTTTGCCGGCGGTGTCGAGAGCTCCAAGACAGCCCTTAACGACGTCGTCGATGTAAGTGAAGTCGCGGGCGACGTCTTTACCGTCGGGGGTGCGGAAGATGGTGATGGGTTTGCCGGCGAGGATAGATTTAGTGAAGAAGAAGTAGGCCATGTCGGGGCGGCCCATGGGGCCGTAGACGGTGAAGAAGCGGAGGGCGGTGAGAGAGAGGCCGTAGATATGGTTGTAAGAGTGGGCGATGGCTTCGCCGGCTTTTTTGGTGGCGGCGTAGAGGGAGGCGGGGTGGTCGGTGGCGTCGGATTCGGAAAAGGGGGATTTTTTATTGAGGCCGTAGACAGAGGAAGGGAGGAAGCCCAGACGATGGAGGGTTGGCGGTTGGAGGATTTGGCGGCGGCTTCGAGGAGGGAGACGAAGGCGGCGAGGTTAGAGGAGATGTAGGAAAGGGGGTTTTTGGCGGCGTAGCGGACGCCGGCTTGAGCGGCGAGGTGGAGGACGTGGGTGAAAGGGTAGGAGGAGAGGAGATGGGAGAGGAGAGGGGAGTCATTGAGGTCGGCTTCGATGATGAGGATGGAGTGGCGAGAGAGGAGGGCTTGGCGAGAGCGTTTTAAGGAGGGATCGTAGTAGGAGTTGAAGTTGTCGAGGCCGAGGACGCCGTCGCCGCGTTTTTTTAGGGCGAGGGAGCAGTGGGAACCGATGAAGCCGGCGGCTCCGGTGACGAGGACGGTGAGGCCGGATGGGCGGCGGGGGGTGGCGGAGGAGCGCACCTGGAGTTGCCAGTGGAGGTCGGACCAGGAGGGGGGGGAGGAGGAGGGGGGGTGGGAGGGGGAATAG